CGTCAAGCCATCACTTACAACTGAAAGATGTATTTCATAGAAGGTCATATAGACAAAAAAGATGAGTACCCAAAAAAGTGGGATTGTCCTTTAAATTGGGCTTTGTATGCACCTCCCTGCTTCCTCTGCTCCAACTCAGTTTCAGCCATTTGAATAAGCATTTTCTCTGTCTCTATTTTGGCAACCTGGAGTACAAAAAGGGACAAATATTTACAAAGTTGTCCCAACACAAATGGTATCTATGGATTCAAATTTTCAAATACTGAAGTGGACTACATTCACACACCTGAACATTTCCATGAGGATCTCTTTCAAGCAGCAACTGTTCCTGAATTGCTGGAGGTAACAAATCAAAAAGCTGCAGAGATGGGGGTGTAAGTTTCTTTTTCCAAAGGCCAGCTTCATCTACTGTGTCATGGGCCAGAATTTCATTCAGCTCTGCAATGAGCTGCTGCACCTGGACACATTAAAATCAGAAGAGGAGATTGTCAACAACCATAATAAGTACATGTACAACATAGAAGCACAAATCATGCCAGTGAATAATAACAAGCAACAGAAGTAGGTAAGCAAACAAACAATTATCAAACTAATGATCCAGTATTTTACCTCAGGAATGAAATCAATAAGGCCTTCTGGAATGAGTATTACCCCATAGTTATAACCAAGTTCTGCACGTTTACAGATCACATCAGCAATGTAGTCTGTAACATTTTTCAGAGTCTGCTTCTTGGCAGCAACCTGCAATAAGATTTTGCCTCATTAAGCAACAATTAATGCAGGAAGCTCTTTGAAGAAATGGGTAATATTGTTACCCAGGCAAGTATCTCAAATCCTAACATATCACAAAATATTGAGTGAGTATCATANAAGCTCTTTGAAGAAATGGGTAATATTGTTACCCAGGCAAGTATCTCAAATCCTAATATATCACAAAATATTGAGCGAGTATCAAAGATGACTGTTCTCCCATCTCAAACAACGACAATCAAAGAAGTATTAGATTCTCACAAGTCACTGTCCACTACATATACACATTTTTGAAGTTCTTGCAATTCACTGAGTATGAGCCCAGTGCATGAAACTTGTAAGTTATAACCAGATTATAGACCATACAGTTTGTAAGTTGAGTTCTTTAAGTAAAATTTACAAAGAACGCTGGAAATTGTTGAATTGCCATTATTCAGAGAATATTCTATAATAAAAGACCTATTTAGACCAGGAAAGAAAGTCTGGTCAAATTCAGAGGTGCTCTTATGATATTCAGGTGAGTTGACTTGGGGGAATATAGGTTTTGAAAGTGAGGTCACCTAGTAATGTAGGAAAATTACTTTGTAGAACCTTGATCCTTTAAACATGTAAAACACTTCTAGGATACTCCCCATTTAAGGATAAAATATAATACAAAAATGGACCTTTGAAGTAGGCATGCCTAGAAAGCAGCTCAAAAAAAAACAATTTTCAACTCTTCAGAGGGCAACATACATGTAGCACAAAAATACGGAGAGTAGCATTTTGGGAGTCCAAATGATATTTATTTTCTTTAGAAAGAATGAGCAGTGAACCACTAACATCATCTGCAAGAGATTAAACTAATATAGGTACCTCCTCTCCAATAAGAGTGATGTTTGGATGAGTTTGTAAAGCACACTCTAGTGTAATGTGTGAAGCAGCACGTCCCATGAGCCGTACAACTGCAAACAGTTGGACATTTGAGTATCATGTATGCTTTGAATTATGCACAAAGAATTAACAAAAAGATGAAACAAAGAACATGCAAATAAGCTGTGGCCTGAAATTACAAAGCCAAGCAAAATTTTATGAAAGCTAATATCAAATGGTAAAAAAATATGGGAATCTGTATGTTTGTAAACAGAGCTGTTCAGAATTATGGATGTGACGACACAACTAAGTGGACAAAAATTAACAAAGAATTACGCAAAGAATTAACAAAAAGATGAAACAAAGAACATGCAAATAAGCTGTGGCCTGAAATTACAAAGCCAAGCGAAATTTTATGAAAGCTAATATCAAATGGTAAAAAAATATGGGAATCTGTATGTTTGTAAACAGAGCTGTTCAGAATTATGGATGTGACGACACAACTAAGTGGACAAAAATTAACAAAGAATTACGCAAAGAATTAACAAAAAGATGAAACAAAGAACATGCAAATAAGCTGTGGCCTGAAATTACAAAGCCAAGCGAAATTTTATGAAAGCTAATATCAAATGGTAAAAAAATATGGGAATCTGTATGTTTGTAAACAGAGCTGTTCAGAATTATGGATGTGACGACACAACTAAGTGGACAAAAATTAACAAAGAATTACGCAAAGAATTAACAAAAAGATGAAACAAAGAACATGCAAATAAGCTGTGGCCTGAAATTACAAAGCCAAGCGAAATTTTATGAAAGCTAATATCAAATGGTAAAAAAATATGGGAATCTGTATGTTTGTAAACAGAGCTGTTCAGAATTATGGATGTGACAACACAACTAAGTGGACAAAAACTGACAAAACTAGAAACTTGTGTCCCCTAATTGTGTTATTGCTGTCCTAATTTCCGATAGATCTTCAAGTTGCTTTTCCTTGCATTTTATAAGCTTCCCGTACCATTGGTCAAAATGTCTTATTGAATTTAATCTACTTGCTCCTTAAGTTGGGGAATACTCTCTTATTGGTGAACCAGCCTGATCTGAGCACGTTCCCCTCCTAATTTCTTTGTTGGTTGTAACTTATGCCTGGGGTATGCGCATTTGATGTTGTACAGTTTGCTCAATTTAATAAAAACTACCCATATGAGAAGAAGAAAAAAATAAAAAAAAGCAGAAACTTTAGCATCTTGAGAAGGTATGCCAAGAGGAAATTAGAAGAGAACAAAAAGTTGGATGAGATGGTTTCCAGCATGCAAGCACGCACGCACACACACACACACCACACGCGTGTTCTAAACAAAAATTGAACTCTGCACTACCCCATTGGGAGCAGCAAGAGATATACTACTCAAGCTGACAGCTGGTGGTGGTCAAGATGGGGAAAACCACATTCAAATTTGCCAACAAGAGTGTAAAATGCAAGGCCATGAACATGCAGGAGTAAGATCTGTTTGAGTTTAAGGCCATGCCCCATATACATACAATGATAATATTTTCCAGTTGAGCGAGCATCTATCATGACATTTCCAATCATTTCCGCATAGATCTGCATTATTAGAACAACACATTAATAACTATTTTTCACCAAATAAAGTAACATATATGACGTGAAGACATCGTGGCTAATGATTAATGCTGACCTAGTTCTAAATGCTGAAGACATATTAAAGTATACCTCTGGGAATGAATATATTAAAAATTAGACAAATAGAAGGGTTAATGTAGTATCAGTCTATCAGACTTAAAAATCAAAAATTCTTAGAACAGTATTATATTTTTTCAAAGGTAAAGATAAAAATGTTCTATTGTCTTGCATTGGAGTAAAAGAAATACAACAGATATAGAGTTGAAAAGATCAAGTCGCCATCTTCCAAAATGACAAGTGAACTTGATTACAAGTACATCATTTGAACAATTTGGGTAATTTAAATTTGTGGAATAAAGGATAGTAGTGCAATACATTAAAGCTCAAACACATAATTAGCTTAGAATAATGAATATGTGAAACAGGGGTGAAAGCATACAAAGATATAGCCATAGTTAGAATCACCTTGCATGCCGTATCAAATCCGAAACTTATGGGAACCTCTTTGCTTTTCAAGTCACCATCAATGGTCTTTGGGCATCCCAACACTCGGGTTTTCAAATTTTTACTTCTGCACAACACAATTAAATGAATAATAGAACAAAAACACAACTGTTTATCCAAACAACGGTAATAGCATATAAACATATCTCCTAGTTTGTAAAAATCTCACATATGTAAAACTGAAGTTTACAAGAAAGATGTCACACAGCAAACTAAAATTTTTTGTTGTTATTAAATAGTCCACCTGAAGTTTTCTGCAAGGAGGCAAGCATTTGTGTTAGAGTCATCTCCACCAATTACAACCAGCCCATCCAAATCAAGCTTCAATGCCGTTTCTTCAGCTTGCTTAAACTGAAATGAGCAAGAACAATAAGTCTTAACCTTAACGGCTTATCCAGAAATAAAATCCATGTACCTACAATATATATAAAGTCATTAATGGTTCAAGAGAGAAGCTAGCAGAAAGTCACACCTGCTCTGGAGTCTCAATCTTGTCCCTCCCGCTGCAAATCATATCAAATCCACCCTAAAACAAAACAATTGCAATCGTATCAGATGCTTTCCGTATTTGATTGGTCTGCATTTGGCTCATCTTGTCAGTGATTTCCATACACTTTGCAAGATTTCAGCTCATATTCTCCATATTATGCCCAAATGGAAGCCACAAATTTCAAGAAGTAGGGATGATATTACAGTTTTATTTTTAGGAATCTTTAGTTTTATTTTTGAATTTCTCATGATGGCGCTTCAAATTGCATGTATGTAAAAAAATAAATTCCACCAAAAAAAGCCGCAATCATAAAACTAAGATGCCTATTTACATTACATTGTGAGACATGTATACACATATAAATGTGAATTTTCTGAAACATGAACCACTTCTTCACATGTTGTGAGCACATAAGGCAAGACAGATGCATATCCATACACCAAACTCAAAATAATTCTGGTCTCATGGCTATATAGTCTGTAATCATGTTCAGGGATATTCAAAGACATAAATTATACATCAACAAATTAACCTAAACAGGGGTTTTCTTATTAGAAAACTAAACAATACTAAAAAATCCATACCTGATTTCTGTATGGATAAACATACTCTGAGGTCAATATAACATATTTGCACTTCATTATCCCAGCTGGTCCACCCCTAAAACCATACAGTGTGCTTCCTTTACAATGGTCCTGCAAATAATCTACAACCACCAACAAAATAATATTCTCAGCAACATTTCAAATTACCTTAAAGATTTTAATGTGCATAATTAACCACAATACGAAAATTCCAACCAAAAATTCCAGAAATGACATTGTGTCCGCCAGGAGCTTGTCCTCCAGATAACACCACTCCTATCTTCAAGCTCGGACCTGACTTAAATTCACCTGAATCACCAGGTACCAACATTGCCGATGGTTGCCCAAACAGACAAGGGAACAGCTTCTCGATCTCCTCTGTGAAAAAAAAAAAACCACTGTAAATCCAATTCAAACCTTTGAGCTTCCGGAAAGAAAATTTTGGATCCAATGCTTAATCTCTGTGAAATTGGAGCAAATAGTTGGTTTATGCTCAGGCTCAGTTAAGTAAAATTATAGTTTTAAAGTCCTAGCCAGTGGAAAACCAAGATTCAGACTTTCAATTAGCTATTCAGTCCTGATTAGCCGAATGGAGCATAGAAGTTAACGAGATCACATAATGACTTTATTCCATCACTAGGAGAGATATGCACGCGAAGATGCTGTTCACTTGGAGGCTGGATCTACTCTTCCAATTATTCTACATAAAACTAGAGTTGATCATTTAGACCTGTTAAGTAAAAGATTAAAGTTTCTAGAGCCCTAATTCATGCATAATTAAAAAAAACGAACTTCAAATCTGCTATTTAGATCATAGCAACCAAACCGATAGAGATTCAGAGATGAAACAATGCGTTATACTCGTATGTAGATCAATCGATGTATATAATTCTAAATAAATATACTGTTCATATGGATAATGATAGAGACCTGGATGGCCGGCGGCGGAGCTGGCAGGACCGTCGACGACCTTGAAGGGGTTTTTGAGGACTGAAGGAAGAGGAAGAGCATGATCGAGCCGGCTGTTCTGTACTTCACTGTAAACCGAAGCGAACCGACCAGTCACCGAAGGCTTAACGGCGGCTATATTACCATTAGCAACCAAGGAAGCCGCCATTGATCGTTTCGCAGAGAGCGAGAGAGAGAGCAAAACTCAGATCTTTCGGAGAGAGATTTTTGGGGGCTCTGTTTTCGCTGTTTGTCTCTGTAAACTCTTTAACTGAAGGAGTTTGAGTGTGGTGAGGGTAAAATTGTCCTTGGAGCCTCCGCCCCGGGTGGTTGTCCTGTCCACGGAGACAATTAGGTAAGGGTATTTTGGGAAAATTGAACAGATAAACCCAAGCGTGCGGTACACTGTGTTTTTGCTGAGAAGGGTAAAATAATAAATTTTTAGTCTCTAAAATATTTGTTTAATGTTTATTTAGTTTTTAATTTTTTAATTATATTTATTTAATCTTTAAGTTTTTTAATTTGTATTTTTTTGGTCCAATCTTAAATATCCGTAAACAAATCGTGACGATTCTAATAACGCTCAATCACGTGATTTCTAATTTTGTGTAAATTTAATCTCTAAAGTTTTAATTTATGTCTATTTGGTTCTTAAAATTTTTAATTTGTGTCTATTTAGTCTCCCGTGATGTATGATGAAAGGCATTAACGGTTTTTTTATGGACATTTGAAACTAGAATACATAGATATAAATTAAGAATTTTATGGACCAAATAGACACAATTAAGAGTATCTCTAACAACAAAATTTATTTTAACTACTCAAAAAATAACATTTTTTTATTTTAACTATTCATTTTTTTTAATACACACTCCAACAGATTTTCTATATTTTTAACTACTGTTTTTAAATATTATTTTTCATTCCATTTATATATATATTTAGAACAGTGGAAAGGAGAAAGAGAAAGAATGGAAGAAAATAGAGGAAGAGATGGGAAATATTATAAAATATATATATATATATCGTTATTATGATACTCTAAATATAGNCAACCAAACCGATAGAGATTCAGAGATGAAACAATGCGTTATACTCGTATGTAGATCAATCGATGTATATAATTCTAAATAAATATACTGTTCATATGGATAATGATAGAGACCTGGATGGCCGGCGGCGGAGCTGGCAGGACCGTCGACGACCTTGAAGGGGTTTTTGAGGACTGAAGGAAGAGGAAGAGCATGATCGAGCCGGCTGTTCTGTACTTCACTGTAAACCGAAGCGAACCGACCAGTCACCGAAGGCTTAACGGCGGCTATATTACCATTAGCAACCAAGGAAGCCGCCATTGATCGTTTCGCAGAGAGCGAGAGACAGAGCAAAACTCAGATCTTTCGGAGAGAGATTTTTGGGGGCTCTGTTTTCGCTGTTTGTCTCTGTAAACTCTTTAACTGAAGGAGTTTGAGTGTGGTGAGGGTAAAATTGTCCTTGGAGCCTCCGCCCCGGGTGGTTGTCCTGTCCACGGAGACAATTAGGTAAGGGTATTTTGGGAAAATTGAACAGATAAACCCAAGCGTGCGGTACACTGTGTTTTTGCTGAGAAGGGTAAAATAATAAATTTTTAGTCTCTAAAATATTTGTTTAATGTTTATTTAGTTTTTAATTTTTTAATTATATTTATTTAATCTTTAAGTTTTTTAATTTGTATTTTTTTGGTCCAATCTTAAATATCCGTAAACAAATCGTGACGATTCTAATAACGCTCAATCACGTGATTTCTAATTTTGTGTAAATTTAATCTCTAAAGTTTTAATTTATGTCTATTTGGTTCTTAAAATTTTTAATTTGTGTCTATTTAGTCTCACGTGATGTATGATGAAAGGCATTAACGGTTTTTTTTATGGACATTTGAAACTAGAATACATAGATATAAATTAAGAACTTTATGGACCAAATAGACGCAATTAAGAGTATCTCTAACAACAAAATTTATTTTAACTACTCAAAAAATAACATTTTTTTATTTTAACTATTCATTTTTTTTAATACACACTCCAACAGATTTTCTATATTTTTAACTACTGTTTTTAAATATTATTTTTCATTCCATTTATATATATATTTAGAACAGTGGAAAGGAGAAAGAGAAAGAATGGAAGAAAATAGAGGAAGAGATGGGAAATATTATAAAATATATATATATATATCGTTATTATGATACTCTAAATATAGAGTATCACTGTAACAAAATATTATTTTAGATATTTTGAAGATAATTTGTTGGAATAAAAATTATGGGCCAAATAACTAATTTTGAAGATTTTGTGTGATGGGGCTCGAAAATAACAGCTCAAGCCCAATTGGTGAGTTGCTAGTTGGATTAGGGAATTCGATTGAGTATGAGGTTAATTTTGCGAATAATGAAAGACACCAAGTGTAAGTGGTTCATCCCAATCAAAAAACTGAGGTTACGTCCACTATAACGGAATCTTATGCTCCTTCAGGTTGTATATTGGAGGCTGGTGGGTTTATTGAGATTAGTGGCACAAAGCCTTCACAAGAGCTTACACTTTGTTCCTCATATGTCTAGACCTAAGAGTTATATATCCGGGCCCCATTAGTAGGTTAACACTGTTCTATTTATACTTGTCATTTTTTCTAGGGTTTTAATGGCTCCTTCTATATTTTCTGTTGATTTTGTGAGGTTTTCTGTCACGGTCCTGCAAATAGTCTTTGTTATGCCCACGATCTCTAGATCGTTACGCGCACCACTACTCTCTTTGTCTGAGGGGTGTAACTGCCACAGGCTTCAGAGATGGTCTCCTTGTCCTTTAGACACGTGGCCTGATGGAGGTCTTCCCAGGGCTTGGCTTGGCTTCTTGGTACTGGGTTATCCTTTAACTAGTCGCTAGGTTGGTTTTGGGTTGTGCTGTTNAACAGATTTTCTATATTTTTAACTACTGTTTTTAAATATTATTTTTCATTCCATTTATATATATATTTAGAACAGTGGAAAGGAGAAAGAGAAAGAATGGAAGAAACTAGAGAAAGAGATGGGAAATATTATAAAAATATATATATACATATATCGTTATTATGATACTCTAAATATAGAGTATCACTGTAACAAAATATTATTTTAGATATTTTGAAGATAATTTGTTGGAATAAAAATTATGGGCCAAATAACTAATTTTGAAGATTTTGTGTGATGGGGCTCGAAAATAACGGCTCAAGCCCAATTGGTGAGTTGCTAGTTGGATTAGGGAATTCGATTGAGTATGAGGTTAATTTTGCGAATAATGAAAGACACCAAGTGTAAGTGGTTCATCCCAATCAAAAAATTGAGGTTACGTCCACTATAACGGAGTCTTATGCTCCTTCAGGTTGTATATTGGAGGCTGGTGGGTCTATTAAGATTAGTGGCACAAAGCCTTCACAAGAGCTTACACTTAGTTCCTCATATGTCTAGACCTAAGAGTTATATATCCGACCCCCATTAGTAAGTTAACACTGTTCTATTTATACTTGTCATTTTTTCTAGGGTTTTAATGGCTCCTTCTATATTTCTGTTGATTTTGTGGGGTTTTCTGTCACGGTCCTGCAAATAGTTTTTGCTATGCCCACGATCTCTGGATCGTTACGCGCACCACTACTCTCTGTGTCTGAGGGGTGTAACTGCCACAGGCTTCAGAGATGGTCTCCTTGTCCTTTAGACACGTGGCCTGACGGGGGTCTTCCCAGGGCTTGGCTTGGCTTCTTGGTACTGGGTTATCCTTTAACTAGTCGCTAGGTTGGTTTTGGGTTGTGCTGCTGGTCCTTTGGTGTTGTTGGGCTTCTTCCTTTCCGACGTGAGGTGATTGGGGGTTCTTCTTTTGGGTTACTAATCAGGCAAGGATCCTCTGAATTTATTGGGCTCCAGGGTTATGATGGTCTATATCTAAAATTTTGCCCTTATCATTGTATATATTAGATCATTTGTGGGAGATGTTATAAAAGTTTGAGAATCAAATAAACCCAACAAATATTCTTTAGAGACTAAAAATATATTTTACTGTAGCAACTTATGCAAGTGGTTGATTTAGCTCCTTTGAGTAATTCTTCATATAAATTGGTGTCATTGGTCTTGATTCTCAATAATACTTTTTCTTTTAATATTATTTATAAATTATATTTTACATATTGACAAGGTTTTATCTATTTTTATATAATTTAATTTATTTAAATTCACGCTAAATAATTTTTAATGTATGAAAATAAAGGTGGTCTATTTCCTCTGACAAGAGAGGTCACGAGGATAATATAATAACACTCAAGAACTTTATGTCATGAATCTCATAAGTGCGTTCGAGATATTGATCGTGTAGGCTTATTCTGTAATTACCCACTTTGCGCTCTCTGTGGTTGGTGGAGGGTGTCGGATTGGAGGGTGAGAAAGTATATGCTACGCCTGTGAGAGCATTGGATATCCCATTTGAGAAATGGTTAGTTGACGATTACAAAGGGGTGGGCCCTGGGTCGACTATTTTAAACGTTTCGGATGGTTTGGACTTTGGACTAATAGCCCATACTAATCACAAAATAGGCTTACTCAAATATGGGTTTCACGTTTGGGCTTTGTACTGAAACTTGGCCCAATTTAGCAATACTCTCTCTCTCCCCCTTCCGTTTCAAGTTGTTGGTCAAAAATATTGAAGGGTTTGATGGCTAGTGGTCCAAACGCAAGCAGTGGCGGATCCACAGTCGGGATAGCTGCCGGCCATTGGAATTTTTAAAATTTTTGGAAAGTAATCATAATTTTAAAAAATTTAAAATTTATTAGAGATTTGCTCCCATTGAAATTTTTTAAAAATATTTATGGGTAGTTATTATATTTTGATAAATATACGAGTCTCACTTATAAATGTCAAAAAAATTCTTTCAAAAGGCTAAATGCCAGTTTCCACCCATTTGTTCCGTGGTTCAGCACTTCACCTTCGAAAGCTCCAAACTACAAGTTTCCAACATGAACACGAAAAAAGAAAAAGAGAAAAAAAGAAAAATGGGTTTACTTTTGTGAGTGATCATTAATGATTATAACCTCATGTGCCACTGTATCTGTTTTGGTAACTTGTTATATAGTACATTGATGCATTCCAAGAATGCGGACCATGTTTCCTTACATACCAATTAAAGTAAGATCAGTTATCCATGGTTCACACTAATGAATATCACATGCTATACACCTAGTTCTTCCATTTACATTCTTTTCTCTCTCTCTCTCTCCTATGAGCATGGAAAGAATCTGCAAAGAAGAGATTATCACTAGCTGTACAATCTTTGTCTTGATTTTCTTTCTTAATGTAGTCGAATAATTTAAGGGGAAAAGCATTACACAATGCTTTATGGATAGACAATAGCAAGATCAAACATTAAGCAAGAAATGATAGACATGCTTTCTTCTGAGTCTCTTCATCAATTTCACCAAGTCACACCAAACATTAGACATGCTTTTCTCCTGAGTCTGCAGACCAGGCTCTGTTTTTTGGGTTCTTTTATTTGTGATTATGTATTGTTTCCTTGACAATATAAGATTATAAGCATGGCCCCTTTATTGATCAGAGTTTTTTTTTTTAACCTCATTATTGAGCATCATTACTCAACTGTTTTTACATCAACTCTTCCCAGATCTAGCACTGGATTGCCTATTCGACTTAGGGAATTGTTTGTTTTGTCGCATTGATGCAAGTAACAGACTTTTAAATCTAACGCTTGTTGTTTGCAATTCTCTTGATCGCGTCACATTTGACGTTTTTTCTCTTTCAGCATCCTGCAAGTCTTTTTGCACATTCATAGATTACTTTGTTTCAATTATTCTTTTCCTCTTTCTCAGTTGATGTAATTTGGTTAATTTGTCAGTTCATTTTTAGGCTGATGGGATTTCATTTTTCAACTAAAAAGCTTGTACTCTGTACGAGGAGAAGCTATCCCACAGGCATCATGGCACAACATGTGGGGTACTAAGAACTCAACAGAAAGCTGTTTGACTAGAGCCTCAATGAAAAAATTATTCTCACAAAAGTGTTGTAGGATGTATTTTTACAGACTATTTAGCTTGATCTTTTTTATATCTTCAATGATAAGACCATGTGTTTCAAAACCAGAATCTGCCCATCTAATTGAGTGGAGGCTTACTTTGGCTTCAACTAACAAAACTTGTCCCATTAATGCTCAAGTTAAAGCAAGTGGACAACAACTACTAATTGGTTACAACGGTGGCATCAAAAGTTAATTTCAGATACCATTCATTCTTTTTTCAACCAATAAGTATGTGACACATTATAAGTTCTCTTATTTTATTACGTTGCTTTATTACTACAAATGAATCAACTGAAAATCTATAGTCACAATTNTAATTGAGTGGAGGCTTACTTTGGCTTCAACTAACAAAACTTGTCCCATTAATGCTTAAGTTAAAGCAAGTGGACAACAACTACTAATTGGTTACAACGGTGGTATCAAAAGTTAATTTCAGATACCATTCATTCTTTTTTCAACCAATAAGAATGTGACACATAATAAGTTCTCTTATTTTATTACGTTGCTTTATTACTACAAATGAATCAACTGAAAATCTATAGTCACAATTCATTTTTTGGTACCACAGTCTTATCTGAACCACTACTATAAATACCATGTGAAACCAAGCAAAACCTCACTTTTGCAGTTTGTTTTCCCCTTCTGAATTAATATTATAGTACCCTAAGGCTTCATGGTTTTCATTCTTTCCATTTCAGCCACAAGAACAAAAGAAAGACACCTAATACAACCTATAAAGGAAATTAAAGTAGATCTATCAAACACCATAATCACCCAACAACCTAATGTTCCCCAGTTGCCTTCCAATCTTCATCCTTTAAACCCCACTTAATCTTTTGGGTTATGTTCTAAGTGTGCATGATTTGAGACATGATCATGATCAGTGCCACCCACTTCCAGTTGTGCATAAATCAATTTTTTTTGCTCATATCTGCCTTCATAGCTCTGTGCCAATCCCTAAGAATGCAAGGCTCCAGAGAACTGAAGAAGCAAAAGCTTCAGCTCAAAGGATGCAGTGCCTTGTGTTGCAGTTGTAGGCTCAGTGTCTCTTCCTCCGAGGAAGCTGAGGGCTCGGGTTCTGATCGGTTTCCGACAATCTCAAGCATTGCACACGCCATGGTTCAAGAGAGGTTAGACCAAATGATCAGAGAGAGGCAAGAGGCGAGACACGAAGGGAGGAGGAGGGCGAGAGGTGAATGTACTAAATTCATTGTTATGGTTGCCATGGAGAAGTCATCTGATGATCCTGTGGAAGATTTTAGAGAGTCTATGGTGGAGATGATAATGGCAAATCGGATCTCCGAGCCAAAAGATCTTCGTTGTCTTCTAAATTGTTATGTTTCGATGAATTCTGAGGAATATCGAGGTGTAATTCTTGAGGTATTCCATGAAGTCTGCACTAATCTGTTCTCGTGTTGTAAAATGTATTGATTGGGACATAACATTTTTTAGACGATTAGTCCTGTCTAATGAAAATGCATATAATGAAAATGCATAAGCATGTGGTGTGGTATATAGAGACTCAATCACACAGATATAACCTACCACTTGTGTGATTTTTATGTTAGGAATCCCTTAATATTTCTGGAAATAGGTTTGCACCAATAGAACCTTGGAGCTTCAGAGCGAAGAGTTTGAGACTGGGTTGACAACGATTTTGTGTCGTGTCGGGTTTGTATATAGAATATAGTTGTCTCTAGTCAAATTTATGTATAACTCTGTATAATCAGATTCGTGTCGTGTACAACCAGATTCATATCGAATCAAGTATTAAGGGGGGCTAACGAGTCAATCCTTATATGACTTGGCCCATTGAAGCTAATCCCATATCAAAAAAAAAAAATCTTTCAGATTCACAAATCATGATAAGAATTATCAGCTTTATGGTAACTGCTAGAGTACCCTTTACCTTAAAGAAAGATCCACATGCAAAGTGCTCAAGGCACGTTGAGACAAGACATTGTAAATTGTAACATGTTAGGGACCAAAGGCATGACATGGAGTGGGTGAGTCGCAATCAAATGAAATGAGAGAAAAGAAGCAAACACCTCAGGCAAGTGAAACTGCTACATCATGTATCAAGGGATCTTACAGTTCAATGCGCATTTTGGGCATGGCTTGTATTTCTTCTCGGGCAGTGTTAAGCGAGCGTCTCTAAGCAAGAGCATGCTTAGTGTAGTCCTAGGGGGGCAGTATTGAGCAATATTTTACATCTATATTCTCGTTAAATAGAACTTTTACCTACCGAAAACAAGTCATAAAAGGCAAAACTGGAAGTACTTGAATTCATAAAAATATGTAAAGCTCGAAACCATACAAGATATCCGAGTAACATATAGAATCTTGGAAAAGCAAACAACAGTAATATGTGAAAACTGCTGGAAGAAGTGGCACAAGGTTGGATGGTGCTAATCCTAGCATTAGTGAGGTTCGACGAAGTGACTGGCTGAAGTCTTTTAGTCGAAAGGGTGATGTGAGGATCAGGAGAAATGTAAAAGTAGATGTTGAAGCAAATCTAAGCTAAGTGTCAACCATGGTGGTGGAACTGGTTGTGTGAAATCTTCGTTGAACATCTCTCATTCCCAAATAGATTTCCAAATAGATCACGGCATTGTGCCACAGTTTGGGCACGCCATCACAGGAGCGTTGCTACTGACAGAGATACCAAATACATAAATACCCATATGGAGGTACTCAGCCACGCTTTCAAGTCCAGGAATAGGGTCACCCTGGCGGAATGCTGTGTTGTGCATGAGGAATTAATGTTGTTGACTGTTAGACTATCTGCCGTGCCCATCGTTATGCATGAATTAAGCAGCAGTGGATAGCTGCTCTAGAATGGCTACCATGCCTGTCCAAATTCATTGAATGAATAATATTTAAACCATGTGCCATCAGCTTTGATGGTAACTACTCGGAATCTGATGAGAAAAACAAAAATTCTCCCACCACAGATCAAATAAAATAGCGTCTGATCTCACTGCACAGCTGCAATCATAGTGTTCACAGGAACTACATATATTTGTAAAGCAATCCAAATTATTGGAGAAGGATCAATAGTTACAGACAAGTTTGCTTTGTTCGTCATGTATTATTTGATAAAATTCTACACGCCTTCAGAGAAAATACAATGCATATTACCAATTTGTTCAAGGTTTTAGGAGTGGGCAACCTTCCTTTATAAGCACAAACACGCTTCCTGCATCTCCCCTTGAAATACGAAGATCATCGTCAAGGTATGTGGTTAGCAACCAAGATTCTGCTTTGTTGCTGGGGATAGAGAATTTCAGTGGTGGTTGGCTAGAGATAGTCTTGGCAACAGACGAAGCTGTGTCCTGTACAGAAGTGATCAAGCCTTTGAATGGTGTGAGGTCAATATTTTGTCCAAGAAATTGCACATTTTCTGGAAGCACAATCGAGTCAGTCAACTGAGGAGTCCCAATGATGCCCTCTTCAAATTTAATCTGTATTCAACCAAAAACTGAATAAGAAATTGAGAATTTGGCAACATATTTGTCTACAGAATATGTAAAAATGGAGAGGCAATAACTAAACAAAATTCTGATAAGAGGCCCATGGGAACCACATCAAGTGGAGAAAATAGATATCTTTTTCCTCAAAGAATTCTTCAACTTCATTGTTTATAATTGGCCCTTGCCTTTGCTAAAAAACGAAATAAGTATACTTTAAGAAAGACAAAGAGAGAACTTGCAAAACCCTACCTTTCCAACCATTTATCTTGCACTGGATATGGGTTTGATATATACACATATAGACAGATGATATTTTGTAAATTCTAAACTCATAACGTGGAAGAACGTGAATGATACTGTTAGGAAAGCACGTGAACATATGGCATGTATCAACAGAACAATCCACTTACCAGATCATTGCCTTTGTTGACATAATTAATTTTTAAAAAGAGAGAATACAAGAAAAAAGATCAAAACAAACCTGCACACGCTTGGGACTTCGAACTTCAAATTTTGCGCTTGTACTAATGGAAGTGGTAGCCAATGGTCCAGAAAACAGGACAGAATTCTGAACCGTGAAATTCTCTGAGTCAATGATCTGTGATATTTCCTCCACCTTCACCAGTGGAAGTGTTCCCCTTGCCAACAACGGGAACAAACCTACAAATGATGTGTACCTGCATGCACCACGTAACAAGTAACTATGTCCATGATTATTAATTGATGAAACTCCATGAAGATTTTTCTATACATATGCAGGGTGTTATCTCAGCCCAATTTCATGTTCAGCTTTTTACCGTAACCATGTGAGACAGTCACCCTCCATAACCAGATTTCCATTAATCAATTCATCTAGGACAATATAAAAGCACGGAACAACACATGCATGATGCAGCATCAAATTGATGCATATGATATGTGAAGGATACAAGCAATAGAAAATTGGTGGAGTAATGTACAAAAGCAGTACAGACAATCATGAAAAATCAAAGCATACATATGGAAAATTATGTACCATCAAATATTTGTACCAATGCTGTGCATACGGTTCTTTTATTGTAATTTGGATGTTACATCCTCCTGCTGGCATCCACCTTCTCATTTGGCATCACCTTTGCTGTATAATTAATGACAAGTTCGTTTTTCACACTGTCAATGATTGCAGAAGTTCAAAAATGCAACCTGTGCTCTAAACTGTAGGCATATTTTGTGCTGATCCTGAACGTTTTATCATCTCAATCTTTATTTTTTGTCAACGCAACATCTCATGTTCTCCACACAATTCTTCAGCTGTGGGACACACTTATTAACAATAATCCAACTAAATTACACTTGATGTTGTAATTTCATTTCATATCCCATAATGATGGTGTAGGATTTAACATTTAAAAGGGTGAGATGAAAACTAATTTAGGTAAGCAGAGCTCACATGATGCTTTGATTGGTCTTGAATTACTGAAAATATTTCAAAAAGTTACCTAACAGCATAACCACATGGGCTGTGTTCCTGTTTCAAGTTCTCCACAATTACACACACCAATGTCAGTCCCTGTCTGNGGTAAGCAGAGCTCACATGATGCTTTGATTGGTCTTGAATTACTGAAAATATTTCACAAAGTTACCTAACAGCATAACCACATGGGCTGTGTTCCTGTTTCAAGTTCTCCACAATAACACACACCAATGTCAGTCCCCGTCCGGGCTTTTTTGCACAAGTCCATATATCAGTCTTCTCCATCAAGGCCAATTGTCAAATATCACAGTTCAAAATTGTACTTTTCAAGAAGGGGATATTTGAACTACCTAAAGTTTAAACATCTATCCACAAATAAATAGCAAATCTTTTTTTTTTTTTTTGGGTGCGATATGGATATCCGCAAGGGATCATTGCCCTCATCACCACACACCTAACCTATCTGCAGGAGACTCCACCGCACTCACGTCTGGCCGAAGCTAATGCCTCACCGCATGCTTGGGAGGCTAAAAAGTAGCTATGGAGACTTAAACCCAAACATTGAGCTAAATATCACCTTATTGCTCACAACTCATGGCTATAAACTAATCATGTGGATCACACTAACAAATAAAAATAAATCAAAAACATTAAATTATAATGAAACAATTAATTAATGCCATGATGAGTAAAACTTACGCTAGAATCCACTTGCCGTTCAGCAAAGTCAATGCCTCCGTCGGTGCAGGAGTCGGATTCTTCGCCTCGAGCTGCGTGATGAGCTCGACGACCTCCGCCCTCGTCTCGCTCGACGCTCTAAGCCCTCGATTGGTCCCATAGAAAGAATCCACCAGTTGCTTCTTCAGCAAATCAATCTCCGTCGGCTCTTCCACCACCGCCACTCCGGTAGAATACTCCTTATCTGGGCCCCACTCGTCATCATCCGCCACTGCACGGACTCGAAAACCACCCAGTCTCGCCTTTGCGATTTCTCCAACTGAAAGCTTTGAATTTGAGCTTTGTATCGCTTTTCCGGGGGTGAAATTGATAGAGTTCGCCAGGAAAAGAGAGGGCTTTGAGGTGAATTGGGCCACCGAGAGGGTTTTGCATGGGAATTGATGTAGAGAAGACACTGAAGCCATTTTTGTGATGTGGGTTTGATGGAGAAACGAAAGCAGAGTGCTCTGATATGAGAAGAAAAGAGAGACAGGTGAGAACAGAGAAATCGAAAGACTCCAAACCAAAGAATCAAAATTGACTATATGTAAATTGACATGAGTTGGCGGTTGAATATCACTTAAATTGACAGTTTTGCCCCCCAAGAAAGATTGATTTTTTTTAATAAACTATTTAAATTAATTATTACAACATTTAGACTAGGACGAGGTTGGGGTTAAATTAATGAAATATTTAATTTGAAATTTAATTAAAACTCAAATTTAATCTGAATAATTCGATTTGAGTATTATATATGTTTAAATTTTTTTACTCACGTTGTATAATTTGAATTGAATTTTGAACAAAAAATAAATAAGATTATCAAGTAATAGAATTTGGGGTAGACTACAGGTGTAGTTCTAGTTGATCCCAACCCGTGTACAGATTAATTTGGCCAAGTTGCACCACTAACAATAAACTCTCGTTCCAGTTATGACGGATTAACAAGAAGTTTTTCTTCAAAAGGGTACTCTCGGGTTTACGAAACATTTTATGAGGGCGTGAGGGCTCGACACGTGGAATAATATTTTGAGAGATTGACGGAAGACCTTTTTTTTTTTTCCATATGTTTGGTTGCTGCACGTCGGCATGGATGTAATAGAAACAAAAGACATGTGGCATGTACGAAGGCGTGGTTTGTTTATTACTGGGCCTTTGGTAACTCGTGGCGAAATGAATGATTTTAATAGGAATGTTGATAATTATNACGAAGGCGTGGTTTGTTTATTACTGGGCCTTTGGTAACTCGTGGCGAAATGAATGTTTTTAATAGGAATGTTGATAATCGTTGAAAAAATTTATTGAAATCTGTTCTGTTTTATATTATAGATTAGACTTAATTCGTGGACGAAAGTACGGTATAATGTAAATAATTTTGAGGGTAATATTGACTATCGTTGAATAAGTCTATTTAAAACTATCAAATAAACTTATTAAAATCTGTTTTATTTTATATTATAGATATTATGGATAATCTGTACCTGAAAGTAAAATATAATATGAATAATTTTGAAAAAAATATTGGTGACTGTTGTATAAATTTATTTGTGTTAGCATTTTCCTTTATTTAGTATATATCTAAATTATTTATGATTTAGTGTCATCTTATTAAATTAATCCGAAAGGCGAATCCATTAAGGATCACGCGGTCTGTGCCGTCAACTGTTTGTAACAACTTTTATCATTCTTAAAGTGCAATTATGCTGTTTAGCTCACTGGACTAGGCCTAGCCCACTAAATCCAGTGGGCCGACTCTAGGCTTAGCCCACCAAGTCCAGTGGGCTAACTCTAGTGAGCTAAGTCCTGATTCATACGAACAATGGTGATTCATGGTTAAAGACGAAGCCCAACTGATGAGTCAGGCCATTCCATTGGCCCACATTACCATTACATTTCATTTTTCAGCCCTCCACAATCATCACTTACTGTTTCTTTTTCCTCTTTTGACATGCAATGATGAACTATTATGACAAATATTTTATTGTTTTTGTCAAACATTCTTATAGAAAAAAGACCACGAGGTTTAAACATACCATTTTAAGATTTAACAGTGAGATGGCGATCGTTAAATTAACTGCTAATCTTTATAACAATTACAATTTATATAATAAAGTAACTTATAATTTAAATTTTAAAAGATAAATAAAATGACTTTTGCTATTCGCAGTTAAGATCGCTTTAATTTTTATTTTAAAGTTAATCTAACAGCTAATATTAACACCTTAAATTTAATAGGAAAATAGGCCTTTAAGGATGTATTTGGAATGATTTTTTAAAAATACTTTTACAACTTATAATTTTTATAAGTACTCTAAAATAAAAAAATTAGTGTTTGAAATAACTCCACCACCATCACCACTGCCGCCATAACCACTACCACCCCAACACTGTCTCTACCACCACCACCGTCACAGTCGTCGCTATTGTCACTACTATCACCACCTTCATGCCACCACCACTGCCATCACCACCATTGCCCTACAACCACCATTTGTCACCATCCCACCACCATAACTACCATCCAAGGCTCCAACCACCCCCACCCTCACCGCCCTACCACCATCATCACCACTACCATCACTATTGTCACCGCTGCCACCCCACTACCACCTCTGCCACAACATCTACCATCACTGTCCCACCGTTGCTGCCACCACCATTGTCGCCACCGCACCACCACCACCACCATTACCATTACCACTATCATCGTCATTATATCCACCTTATTATCATCGTCATCAAACACTAATTGTTGTCATCGTTGTCCATTGCCACCACCTATCAATATCGTTATCTCATTTTTATATTTATTCTCACCACCTCCATCATCCCACTACCAACACTCACTACTACCATCATCCCATTACCATAACTCATCACTACCCTTCGTCGCCAGCCACTACCACCCACCCCCACCACACTTACCACCATCAACCACCACCAGCTGTTATCGCCCACCATCGTTGCCACCCAATGTCACCCACCCCCACCGCACCTACCACTACCACCGTCGTCATTCGCCACTAACCATCGTCATTGTCGCTTAGAAACACTATCGTCACCCACTACCACTATCATTACCGCCGACCGCCATTGTCGTCCCACCACTACTACTGTCAACCACCATTATCGTTGTATACTATCACCATCATCGTCACTCATGACTGTCATTACCACCATTGTCACCCAAAACTCATCATCACCATCACTATTGCCACTTTACGGCTGCTACCACCACCACCACGATCGTGGTCGCCCAACACGACCATCACCATCTTCCACTATCACTACTGTCACCCACTATCACTACTATTATTTATCCCCACTATAATTGGTGTTTAAATTTTTTTCTCTCTCTTTTATATTTATGATTTAATTTTGGATGTAAATACAAATATGTTTATTGTTGATTATTTTTTTTTATTACTTTGTGCCTTCAAGCACGAATAATATCTAGTATATCAATATTACAACAAAAATATAAACAAACTAAAATCTTAAATAAGATCAGAATATCACACTCCAACCAAAAAGTGGGACACAAGAGAATTTATTATTAGATTTGAGTATGGTTTACTTCTCTAACCTCCTAATTAGATTTGTATTTAATTAGATGAGACCTAGTTGGTTAGATTATATTTTTCTTCTGTTAGGTATGGGGAGGCATTTAATGACAATAATGAGGTGATGATATCTTTTAGGATTCATATTTGAAAGTAATTTTATAAGTCGGTACAAGTCAACATATCCTGTAACAAAAAATAAAATAAAAATTTACGTATATTTTTTTTAAATTCAACTTGGGTACTACTAAGTAGTTAAAAGGTACACGTTGAGCTTGATGTATTCAAACTTAATAGATAAGACAATGTTTTATTAATATAGGTTGAATTAGCTGTTGATATGACCTATATGATAAATTGACACCAGGGTTTCAAACCCTTTTTGAATGCTCAACTTTTTAATAGAATTTAATTCAAAATTTAAATAATTTGTAGTTATGAATAAAATATAAGTTTCTCAACAAATTCAACCCAACTAATTGGGGCCGCTATACATGTAGATGAATTTAATTTCTCTCTAATGTATTTTGACTCCAATTTTTCCCCCCTAGATTATGGACTATTAATTAATGAAAAATATTTATATAATAAAGTAGTTTATGATTCAAATTTCAAAAGATAAAAAAAATGACTTTTACTATTCGCGGTTGATATCACTTTAAATTTTATTTTAAAGTTAATCTAACGACTAATATTAACACCTTAAATTTAATAGGAAAAATAGGGCCATAAGTGTGTTTGGAGTAACTTTTTAAAAGTACTTTTAAAAATTATATCTCATAAATACTTTAATAAAAAATAGTGTTTGAAACCGCTTCACTATTACTTCTACCAACACCACCCCCACCACCACTATTGTCTTCGCCACAACTATTGTGTATTAGACCCCTTCGGGTGCCAATCATTGATGCAATTATTCAACAGAAGCAATAATATATTTGGTTCTAACAGAATTGTGAATTGGAATAATCGTAATGATTTAAATTAAAATAATATGATTCCCATATCAGATTAATTATTATAATGATATCATTCCAATTTGTTTTTTTTTAAAGATTTTAAAAATATTTTAGTGGAACCCACTTATTTTGAGAAACAAATGAGCAATACATTGAAATGGGAATTCTAACTACTTTTAATTCCAAAAATCAAACCATCAATCATTGTCTCATTGCCTTCTGCAAGCTTTGATAGTCACAGTTATTGGACTTTTCCCTTTTCTTTTCTTTTCCTTTGTTTTTTGACAATCACATCCCTCCTGATATTGAGGAGTCAAATTCCAATCATCATATGGCCAAATTTTCCAACAACAACCGTTAGAATGGATTAAAAAAATTAATAAATGAAGGAAAAAATGTGACATTAATATAAGAAAAAATTAATTGATGTGCTATGAGGAGNCAACAACCGTTAGAATGGATTAAAAAAATTAATAAATGAAGGAAAAAATGTGACATTAATATAAGAAAAAATTAATTGATGTGCTATGAGGAGAGTGAGGGGGTAAAGAAATTAATAATTAACGGGTGTGTTTGGCAAAAGGGATAAAAGGGGATAACAGCNAGAGTGAGGGGGTAAAGAAATTAATAATTAACGGGTGTGTTTGGCAAAAGGGATAAAAGGGGATAACAGCTGTTGGATTGGATTATCTTGTCCGAGGCCACAAATCTAATCTCATTTGTTATTAGCAATTTTATTGCATTTTTTCGTAATAGAATACCATCTTTATATGATTTGAACTTGGGATTGTAATATAGTTCTTAAAAAACATCCAATTACTTTTAATTTATTTAGAGTTGATAATCTATAAGGATCTCTTAATCGGATACAATGATGTTTTGTCTTAATGGATTCAATTCTTA